CCCTGGTAGGGGGTTTTAAACTCAAAACCCCCTGGTAGAGGGTTTTAAACTTTTGACAAAGTTCACCACCATTGTTTGCTTAAAAAAATAAAATATTTTGGCATTAATGGTCCACTGCATCAGTGGATTAAAGATTTTTAGATAGGGAGAGAACAAACTGTAATAATAAATGGCTCTAAATCAATACCGATAACAGTAAACTCAGGTGTACCTCAAGGAACAATCTTGGGTCCATTACTATTTTTAATTTACATAAATGATTTACCAAATTGCCTTACTTCAGGAACAAATGTCAGATTAGTTGCAGACGATTGCATAATATATAGAACAATAAAAACAATACAAGACACAGATATTTTACAAAGAGAATTAGATGAATTACAGAAATGGGAATCAAATTGGAGCATGTCTTTCCACCCAGATAAAATGTCAGTTGTTAAGAGTAACAAAAAAACTAAAACAAATTAATTCCACTTATCTTATTCATGGCAAACCAGTAACACAGACTAAAAACGCAAAATACCTAGGTGTTATAATAAATGAAAAACTGTCATGGAATCCACATATTGATGAAACTATAAAAAAAATCAAACAAAGCATTAGGATTTATTAAAAGAAATTTCTATAAATCAAATAAGAACATAAAACTAAAATGTTATTTAACCTTGGTTAGGCCAATAATAGAATATGCATCCTCCATTTGGGACCCCTCAACTCAAGAAAACATTAAGAAACTGGAACAGACACAAAATAGAGCAGTGAGATTCATAACAAACGAATATTCACATTTGACTAGAGTAACACCTATAGTAAAATCACTAAATTTAGAAAGCCTTCAGAACAGAAGACTCAAAAGTAAAGTGGCAATTATACATAAAACACTGAACCATAATCTTCAAATACAAAACACAATTTTAATAAAATACTCTTAAAGACACAAAGATAAAGGCACATTCCTCATCCCATATGCTAGGACAAATTTGTACAAATACTCCTTCTTTCCTAGTGCTATTAGAGCATGGAATGGGTTGCAAGAGCTAGCCAGGAAAACCAGTGACTTGGCAGAATTTAAGTCATTGGTTAATATGCATGACTAAATGCATGACGCGTAGGACGTAATCATCTTCTTTTTTGAAGTAACGTCTGTATTATATAAGATAAGATAAGATAAAATGAAAGCAAAAAATCTGTCACTTAATTCTGATACCTCCCCTGCGGGGAGAATTTCATTTTGGGTGTGGGGGGGTTTGAACCCCAAACCCCTCCCTGGCTACGCCCATGATACACATTACACACAGCAGCGAGATTGCAAACCAACCAACTTATTCACAGTTCAATATGGGTATAAAGCTCTACTTTCTGCGATTTGAAAAGAAAAAACCTTTTTGTTTATTTTTAATAACATAGATCTAAAAACACTGCACTTAAGGCTTACCAAAAAAAATATTTTTTAATTAAAAAATAAATCTAGATCTAAATCAATTTTTATACTATTATAATTAATGGCACACTTATGCTTAGTATGAAGTCATTAATGAAAATTTTTACAATAATTTATAAAGCGCTGTCACATCCGATATTTAATGAAAGGATATTTATATTTTAAATAATGGGTCATGGTATGTTCATATATAAATCGCGTTTTTGAGATTGTACTAGGAGGAAGCAGGAGCTTTTCACATTAAGTAAGTGCCTCTCTAACCGTTCTGCTTTCTCTTATCTTTTAATGGAATGGGTTACCTGTATCAGCCAGGAAAACCAATGATTTAGCATATTTTAAGTCACAGATTAACATGCATGACTAGATTGACACATGCAATGAGTAAGACGTAACAATCTTATCTTTTGAAGAAACGTCTGTAATCTATAAGTAATACCAAAAAGCTTCAAACTCATTAGGCTGCTATTGTATTGTTTATAGTTTTCAGACTACATACATGTATAAATAGAATACATTATGTAATCCTACGAATGCATATATCCAGTTTTCGATGCGTTATTAAACTTTATATATTTTAGAGAATTAGGCTTACACCTATAATATAACACATGGGCGTAACCGGCAGGGGAGGGTCTTCAAACCATCACTTGCCTCAGACCTCATTGTATGAAAAGGAAACTTTACTTACTGCCCCAGTGCAGCCAACTTAAGCAAACTACAGTCACCAAATTTCATGAGCGTAGCCAAAAGGGGTTTTGAGGCTTCCAAACCCCCTCCAATACAAAAACTAAAGCATTTTATCATTGTCTACCAGTCCCTGAACTCCACTGAATAGCAGATTTGGTTTTTGAAATTTTTTAGCGGAAGAGTAGCGGGCTAATTGCACTGTAGATACCTCAGAATATGAATTTTTAAAGCTTAAAATAAATGAAATAATGCTTGGTTCACAGCGCTCCCCCAGACTCCCTAGCTACCCTTTGGCGGTGTGCACTGTCTTTCCACTAATTATAGGAAGATAGTATTCTAGGGTAGAAAAAACGTTTGAAAGAATGAAAGATCAGAATGTAATGAAGATTAATTACATATACACACACACACTAATATATATATATATATATATATATATATATATTGCGGAGTGGGGTAAAAATCCCCCCCCCCCACGAAAATATATGACATGCCATTTGTGGGCCGGTTTTTATGATAATGCGCGGGCCGATTTTGATACCCAGTACCCTGGCTACAGATACGAGAAACTTGACACGTAATGAAAAAAATATAATAATGAATTAAAAAATAATGTAATGAAAATTATGTTTTGTGTTTAAATGTTCATCTAAATCTATGTTACAAAAAGTATTTGAGCTCTTGAAAATTATTCGACGGTAAGAAATATGTTCTCATCACAAATGTGTAGTAATAATGTATTTTAATTAATCACGTCTTGTCAGGTTTAATATTCACAAACCTTTCTACAGTAACAGCATCATTTTAGCCTAACCCCATGGACATATCATATTAGCCTGTAGTAGGCCACCATAAGTTTTAATTTTACCCTATGACAAAACATCTAGACTGAACCTAAGGATAAAATAAAATTTTAGCAGCCCTCAGGACATCTTAATGTTAGGCTAAACCTCAGGGCAATATCACATGGTAGACTGAGTATTTGATAGTATGTCATTTAGTAGCCATAAGATTGTAAAAAAAAAAATAAAAAAAAAAATTTTCCAGTCTTAAATAGTAATTTGTATACATTTTCAAATGCAAAGATTATTTTTAAAAAATATTTTCTATAAACAAAGTTTCCCAAAAAGCAGGGACCTATAGCTATCACCAGTAGATGTTTATTTGAAATGGTCAGAGTATTTTTCCTTATTTCTTATCCCGACACATCAACAAATGTAGTCTCCATGAGGACCGAAATAACCAAGAAAACGATGCATATAATTAAATGAAATTTATTGACACATACATGCAATTTAAAAGTAAAACAATATGGTTTCTTTAAAGTGTTGTAGCCCGGAGGGCGGGTAGCTATTATTGATGTGAGATTCTTTTATTATAAAATTATGAAAGTTTCAAAATATTTCAAAAAAAAAAAAAATTCCAAGACAAAAAATAAAAACAAAATTTAATATATGGCTATCAGGAAAAATTATATATGTTGTCGTCCATATGTTGTCTTCCATATTTGTCTTCCATATATTGCCTTCCTTATTTGTCGTCCATATATTGTCTTTCATATTTGTCTTCCATATGTTGTCTTCCTAATGTTGTCTACAGTGTAATAACACAGTTTTGTGTTTTCACGCAGCTATTGTCGGACGGTTAAGACATTGCAAACATAGATTATCACTTGTAATAAATAGATCTCATATGTTCAGATAAGAGCACCACCATGACACGAGGTAGCTGCTTGATCACGGGACATCTTCTGCCTGTGCTAATTATTGTACATATCGCGGATTTCTGAGTACGGGTATGCTTCTGTTTCCATTGGTTGTCGAGGCGATGACGAAACTCTTAGAGATTGGTTGGTCACATCACGTGGTCTTGCTCCTGCGTTGCTTGGTGTTTGAACTGGATCTGAAGAAAACATTTGCGTCAACATTTGAAAAATATCTTGAAAATGTACATTCAATTTACGCCCCAATTATAGGTCATGATTACGAATTTGTTGCAAAAAGTAATTTGTTTCATCAAATGGGTTAAAGTTTTGGCTAAGCGTCTGTGACGCGACTATTTAAAACAAGACTAAGATTTGAAGTGTAACAAAATTTAACACAGAATACTCTTCGCAACTTAAGAGGTTGGCTTTAGTTTCTGGAGTAGGTATTTAACTTAGCGACATTCAATGGTTCCCTTCATACGCGTAAAACTTTATGTTCAACATCGTTAATCAGTGTCAAGAACCTTTATATTGTTGGCCTTTTGCCTGTGTTAATTGGCTATTTAAGAGCTCCTTTCGTTTAGACTTATCTACACAGGACACATCGTGAAGGCACCTAACACCATTAGGGTATTACTCACTATCCTATTTCTGTTTTGCTAAATACAACTATGTTCGCCAATATTGTGTGGCCGTAACGCATGAGCCGCTGGACTACCTATCAAAAGGGCTCAAGTTCGTGTTCCAACTTGAGCTGAGTTTTGTTGGCTAAGCACTTAAAAGCAGCCTGAGAAATCTCTGAGAAAAAATCAGGAGCCGGTCAACCCTAGGGGTGTTTATAGCCCTCAGTGCTACACCCTGACAGAGCCTGCAACGCCGCTGACCCCAAAGTGATTCGGGCGTTTGGATACATCAGCCAGGTGGAGAGAGACAACATTGTCACAAACACAGCCGATTCCCAGGCTTTTATCTCATTTCATCCCATTTCCATGATATGATCCATAAACGTTTCGCAACCGAAGGTGGCCATGACAGATTTCTGATATCTTTTTCTGGCGTACTTTTTTATATACTAATTAAAGAGCCTGGAATGGAATGACTTCATTACCTGTGAGTTTAGGTGTGTGATAAAATGCTCGTTCATTCAACCGAATGTCCAACTCATCGTAGTCATTCTTTGTTCTACGTTCCCTGGAAGGATAACAAAATGTAAGTTCCAATTCATGCTCTCTATGCTTATACAAAATAAAATATTTAGCAACATCTAAACTAAGAGTCTAACAATCTAGTTAAAGATTTACACATGTGCTATAGACATGGACTTGAAATGATCTAAAGACATAGACTCACAAAGAGCTAAAAACATTGACTAAAGTACTAAAGATGTAGAATTGAAATGATCAAAGACATAGATTTACAATGTTCGATTGACATGGACTTACAAATCTGCTGCAGCCATAGTTTTAAAATGCTTTGAAGATATAGATTTACAATGTTCTCTAGACATACTTTTACAAATGCGCCACAGAGATAATTTTAAAATGTGCTTAAGACAAGCTTAAAATTTTACGATTGAATATGCAAATAAACTTAAAATACGCTATAATCATACGCTTGAAATTTGCTGTATGAATATTTATACAATAATCATAGAATGTGCTACAGACACACACTTACACTGTGCTATAATATCGATAACAGGCCACTGTTGTTGACACTGTGAGCGCTACTGCAACTGCTGCCATGACAACGGTTACTATGAACAAATACAAGTTCTTGAAGCCTTCTTTGATGTCTATTTCCGATGAAGAGTTTACATTTACTTTTGTAGTGTCACCTGCCATATCTAAATGGGAGGTGGGTGTTAATTGGAAACAATTCAAAAAGAGTAAAATGAATACATGATTTTATTAAAATAAAAAAACAAAAAAAACAAAGTGCTAAATTATATTTAAACAAAACAATCATTAAATGTGTATAATTGTGTTTTGTTTTGTGTGATTTGTTAGATGTGTTTATTAGTTCTGGGTATGATGTAGTGGGGGCTTTCGAAGGTCAAAGTGCATTTAAGGGGAGATTCCTAGTGTCGTTCACATAAGCGGATTTTGTCACGAGCGCACCGGAAGTAACGAAAATGTCGCTAAACTAAAATATTTTAATTTGAACGCGGGATGTTGTCTAAGGCGACCTGCATTAGACAGCTCCAGCATTCAGTGGCACATCAACGAATTGACCGTCGAGTCAATTCAGTTGTTTTTCTATTTAAGGATAAGAGAAATAAGTCAACACATAGGTCAAACATCAACTTTATTAGCATTCAATTATTTCATATGCATAAAAAATATCATAACAAAAAGAACAATGATATGGCATTATAAAGTCATGGATTTTTCTACCAATTTTTTTATTTGCATTTTTTCATTCTTTCATTTTGTTGTATCCCCCCTCTCTCTTTTTTCTATTGTACAAATGCGGTAAAGTTTAAAGAATATAATTATCATAACTAAATAACTATTCTATTATAGGAAAGATTTAGTGTTAACTATTTAGATAACTTCTAAAAAAAAGTGTAAAGTCTTATACCATTTGTGTAGACATTTATATATTTACTAATGTCCGTGAAGACTTTTTCCAGTTCGGGTTGGAACAATGAGAAGGGAGGGCAAAATAGTTGTGCATTGTTGTCTTCCGTTGGAGCTCTGGTCTTGTCAAAGGCAGCACTAAACAAGCAAAGGCAATAAATAAACTAATAAAACAAAGATTATCCAAGAAAAAAAAATTACTCCATATATCTCAATACTACAGGAAGAAGCACCGTTTAACAATGAAAACCACAATTAATTAATGCGAATTAATTAATAACTAATTTTTTATTCATTTTTTTAAAAATTAAATAAAATGTTCGGCTATGCCCATGTATCAAGGATGGCTGCCTTCAACTCTATTAGAACATCCGAAACATGTATAAACAAAACATTTTACAAAGGACATATACAGTCTCTCAATGTAGCTTTTAGTTCCCATTTTCGATTCCAAATATAGTAACTGATAATCAATAATTAATTATCTAATGGATTAATTTTCAGAATAAATAATAATTTTGTAAAGTTTCAACTTGATCCGAAAATGGGTTTGGGAGGAATAATGTGTTCAAACAATTGTATTACATCTACTGACGGAGCGAGTGAATATAGCCTAAGCTTTTTTTAAAAAAAATTGAGTCTTATTACTGGTATTGACTAGTCTCCTTCTTTGTTGTATGTCTTTCTGTCTGACTGTCCTTATGTCTCCATCGGTCCAACCAATCCACCCTACCACCCAAGCTAACATTCATCGATCTATCCAATCCTCATATCCAGCCATTGAATGTTATTCAAAGATCCCTTTATACTTTTTTTTTATTTCTCCACTAAAACAATAATAGAGTGTGAAAACGGGTTTACCCGATTGGTGAAAAAGTTTCGTTCTTTGATATTTTAATTGAGTTAAATTTAGGTATTTTTAAAAATTTCTATAGTCTCCCTTATGTGGGAGAGAATTAAACATTCACCTCGGTCTCCGCCATGCTTTCATTAAGGAATATTTATGCCAAGTTTTATCAAAATTAGTCAAACGATGTCTATGAAGGACATTCATACTTATAAACATACATACATACATAAATTCATGTATACATAAATACATACATACATATGTACAACTCCATACATTCTACTTTATTATATTAGATATGGATATAAAAGAAAATTGTTAAGTAACCAAGAAGTGTCTGTGAAGAAGACTATTTTGATCATCAAAAGTGAGCTCAATCTTAATACGTTTATAATGCTGGCTAGTTTTCTCAAAAAAATACCTTCATACATTAGGCTAGTGTTTCCCAAACTATGTTCCGCGAAACCCCAGTGTTCCGCGATGCCTGAAGAGATGTTCCACGAACTACTGAAATAATTAAGTAGTAGTCTTTCAAGTAAATTAATCTCTCTTAAAAATTAATCAAAATTTCTCTACATACTTAGAATATGCGAAGTGTTCCGTAATGGAAAACTTAAAAAAAAACACAGCATTAGCGAATAGATATTCATGAAATAGCCCGAGAAATATGATAAAACAGATGTTAATGTATTTAATGTAGTCATACTTACTGGCTAGTCCGACGATAAAATTGCTTAGCACTTCTGTAAAACAAAAATCTGGGTAAAGTAGACGCCAGTCAGATTGAGCAGCAAAGATAGGAAAGGATGAAAGAATGAGCAAGCCACTATTATAAGTAAGTTTATAATGCACTCAGTTTGAGCTGTCTATGACCTAGTTTCCTTTCAGGGAAGTAGATTACAATTTAAATACAATACATAGTTTCAATTTACTGCAATTAAACGACTGAGTTAAAACTTTCAGTAGATAAGTGTTCTTTAAAACGGAAATCAAACGGAAAATGTTGTGTTTGGAATGTCGCCAATGGCAAGGCGTGTCCCTGCTGAAAGATTATTCTGACGTGCTCATAGAACAACTTAAGTTGAAATATATTTTTAAAAAATCCTCTTTTATTAAAAGAGTAATTAAATTTCTAAAAGATCTAGACCATAGGCGTAGCCAGGATTTTTTTCGGGGGGGGGGGGGGTAATGTTTAACCGAAAAACACCTTTTGCCTACGGTTATGAAATTTAGTAATTGTACCTTTGCATTTCCCTTTGTAGGAAGTGTGTGTGTGTGTGTGTGGGGGGGGGGTAAACCTAAAGACAGCTCTTTGCTACGCTCTTGAAATTTGGTAACCGTAGTTTGTTTTAGGAAGGGCTTGTGGATCTATGCAAATCCTAATTTTTCCATTAGCTTTTTCCATAATTGCCATCTGACTCACCCACTCTGTAGGCTTTATCAGTGGTTCTATGATTCCTCTCTGCACTAGGGTCTTTATCTCCTCCTTAACTCTTTCTTGTAAAGCGATAGAGATTTTTCTACACGGCAGAACCTTGGGCTTAATGCTGCTATCAATCTTTAAAGACACTTCTCCTAAGTCACCCAAATCACCAGTAAACTTTGGACTACAGTCTTCTTCTTGGTTATTCACTACTGATGCTATGAACCTATCTTTATTGACTTTGATTAACTTCATTCTTGTTAAAGTTTCATGACCTAGAAGGCATGCTAGAATATTTGGTACAACTATATATTCCACCTCAAATGTTTCGTTAGTTTTCTCATTTTTCGTCGTTAGAGTGACTTTCCCTATGGGGCTCATTTCAGTCTTATTCCACATCAGTCTGATTCTTATTTACGTATTTTTCCTGGATGGTGTTTACATCAGCTCCACTATCCATTTGAAACCTTACACGGTGACCAATCACTGTCATAACTGCTGTCATCCTTTTCGTTTTGTGGTTCTCCAAAGACATCACCCATTCATTTTTTACCATCATGACATCATCTCGTGTGTCCGACTGCAGCTGTCTTTCATCGTTAGACATATCATCTGATACCTGCTGAATTTTCTTTTTGCACATCACAGCAAAATGATGTCTCCCCTTGCACGCTAGGCACGTTTTACCCCATGCAAGGCACTTTTCCTTTATGTATTCGTGAATCCTTTCACAATACCTGCATTTACCTTTCTGGATGTTTGTTCTTGAGGGTGTTGATACTTTCTCAATGATTGGAGGGTCGGCTTGTATTTGTCTCAACTGTTTGTTATCGGTTTCGTATGCTCTGAAAATGTCTCTGCACCTTTCCAATGTGAGACTCCTATCTTGTAACAATTTCATTTTGAGACATTCATGTCTAACACCAAGAACTACTCTGCTCAGAATTGACCTATCTTTCAGGCATTCAAACCTACACGTTTTCGCTAGTCTTCTCAGATTTGTTATGTACTTTTCAATGTCCTCGTCTTCTTGGTGTTCAAGAGTATTGAAAACATAGCGCTCATAAGTTTCATTCGTTTTTCCAATGCAAAAACTTTCAAATGTGTTCACTATTTCTTCCATCTTTCTTTCTTTTCCCTTCTCAATTTCAAGACCTTCATATATGTCCATCGCTTAAGTTCCTATAATTGTTAGAAAGGTGGCCACTCTGACCTCCTTTGATTCTTCCGACAATTTAGTGGCTAACTCATAGTTTCGCCAGCTCCCGTGAAACTTTTGCCAATTAGCGGCCATGTTACCTTCTACCTCGAGCGGCTCGGGTACAGGAAGTAAATTTCTAGCTGCCATTGCACGGCGAAGCGTTGAATTGTTGCCTATTTATTATTGCAAACAATAAACCTTTATATACTGATTAATGATTACCTCTGATCATAAATACACCGCTGCCAACATGTAAATTAAGATATAGGTTCACAGTCGACAATAAACAAACAACAACAATTAGTGTCATGGCGAAAAATAATACTTTATTATATTGAACGCGTGCACCTTTGCGCACCATATCAACAGGGGGTAAACAGTAAAACCATCTAGAGGTGGTATTTTCTTAGGAGAAAGATTAGAGCTGTTTTTGAGATTCACGTCAAGGTTCCACCTTCTACTCTCCACCCACCCTCCATGAAGTTCTGACTTGAAGAGATGTGTTGTATAAAAAGGTTTAAATACTAAAAATGTGTAAGAAGGAAAGAAAGACAAGAACAAAGGATAACAAGTTTACAAAGACAGTTTGTGTGGAAACACAAACTCAAAATTGGCCCCCGAAGTGGTCCACCTAGGCAGGTAAAATGGCAGGTTTTAATGACAGATAA